CTTAGAAAGTTAACAACCGGTTCTCCCGAATAGGTGCGAACTGGCTGAATCCCACCACTACCTGACACCCTGGATGACTGCTGTCAATCAAAAATGTTGTATTTGCACACTGATCCAGAGCCCAGATCTGCGCAGCACACAGTCAAATCCCATGCACCTGGGCAAGATTAAGCAAGCACAGATTTTAGCAAAGCTCCTTTAATGCTAGGCTAGGATGAATACGGCTTCATGAAAACACTAGGATCACTTTCCCAGCTTCACGTATAATTAAAGCTGAAGCTCTGTGAATGAAACGTTTCTTCCCAGGCTTCTTGCCACCTGGGCTACATTGCCCTCCGTGAGATCAGCTGCCAGCTCATTCACCTGTCTCTCTGCGATCATTTCCCTGCCCTTCCCCAGCCTTGTTAAACTCTCTCCTATTCACTAAGCGAGGGCTCAAATGGTTCAAACACATTCCTGATGAGACAGTAGATCACATCGGATGGTAGTTTCTCAATCCCCTTTTCTTTTTAGATCGACTATTGCTTGCTCAGAATTGGTTTTGGTTGCAAAAATGATTGAAATGTTTTCATAGTTGCCCAACTGGAGTAGAACTATTGCAAGCAAAAACCTAATCATTTTCATGATCTCCTTTCCTTTCTTTTCCTTTCCTTTCCTCTCTTTTCTCCCCTCTCTTCTTTTAATCTCAGCTTTATTTTTGATCAACTCATGGTGGGATATAGCCTCTATTTTTCCCACAACAGTCCTCTGCTTATGCTGTATTTTTTTAATACCTGTTTTTATTTATTTGCATTTTGGTAATTGTACATTAAAAAAAACACAACATGAAAAAGGAATTCTCCAAGATATACCAAGATCACAATGAAAAGGAGAAAGCTTTTTCTTGGATTCCATCCTATCAAGCTGCAGGATATAACAGACAAAAATACTATCATGAAATAACATTATTTTTTTAAATAAAGGGACAAACCTAATTTCGCTTTTTCTTATCCTTTACATTTTAGGCCTCCAATATATAGAATCAGGCTCAGGTACTAAGGCCCTGGTGCTAAGTGAAGGACACTAAATCATTCACTGCATCAACAACAGGAATTTTAGAAGCTGGCGTGATTCACCTCAGTGCTTCTCAATCGTGGCAACTGTAAGATACGTGGACTTCTAATCCCAGAATTCTGGCTGTGGATGAACTTCTACTATGTGTATGCTTCTACTGCCACGCTGGCTGGGGAATTCTGGGAATTGAAATCCACACATAGTAAAGTTTCCAGTTGCCAAGACTGAGAAAGACTGAACTAGCTTAATACCACCTGCAGCTGAAGTAGGTCATTTATTAGCTTCCAGGTGTATATATACCGTATTTTTCAGACTATAAAATGCACCAGAGTAGAAGACGCACCATAATTTTGAAGAGGTAAATTTTTAAAAAAGATTTTTGCACTCTGCAGGCCTCCCAAACCCTCTGCATGCCTCATTTTTTTAATGAAAAACGGGGCATGCAGAGAGTTTGAGAGGCCTGCAAAGTACTCCTGGGGGCGGGAGGGGGGGAGAAACAAGCAAAAAACGGCCTGTTTTTCGCAAAAACTGGACCATTTTTTGCAAAAAACAGGGCATGCAAGAGGCTTTGGGAAACTTGCAGAGTGCTCCTATGGGCTGAGGGCAAAACCAAGCAAAAATGGCCATTTTTTCGCTTGTTTTTGCCCTCCCCAGCCCTCAGGAGCACTTTTCAGGCCTCCCAAAGCCTATGCACGTCCATTTTTGTGAAGAAGCAGGGTTTCAGTAGGCCAAAAATGCTGTATTCAGTATAAGATGCACCCAGATTTTCTCCCTCTTTTTTTGGGTGGGTGGGGGGGGGGGGAAACTTCTTATACTCTGAAAAATACGGGAACTTCACCTTCCACCGATTCCAACCACCATAGACTGAACAAGGTTGTCTAAAAGTTGTAATCCCGTAGTTTTAGGCTGCCAATTCTTCTAATTCTAGTAGTTTTAATCTGCCAATTCTTGACCTACCCTGACTGGCAGTGGCCATGACTATTCTCCCCTCCCCCCCTCTCCCCAAGTCTTCCTGGAGATCCTAATGACTAAACTTTGGACAAAGCAGCAGTTCTGATGCTAAAGTTGGGTCCTTCTCGATCACCTTCAGTCAGATGGAAAATTTGCATCTCCCGTTATCTGGAATTTAACCGAGGAAGCGAAGGATTAATCTTAGAACTTTTGGCATGCCAAATTACAAACCGCTAACCTTTGACAGCTAACCTATGATCTCTTTCTTAATGAGACTCTGAGGACTTTGGGACTTAAACACCCATGGTCACCTCTTATGCAAGAAATATCCAACCTTTTGCAATTTACCTTTGCTTTCAGCAATCCAGTGGCTTATTCCAACCGATTTTAGCAAAAGGATTAGTCCTGTAAACTTTAATTATTGACCAAAGGAAGCAAATTTATCTTGTTACAGCGTCTTGCCTTAAACCAGACTCCATGCTCTTGGTGAAAAAAACAGCCTTACCAGACAAATTTAGCACTGAGCACGAAAGTAAAATGTTAAGACCTGGAAGCCATCTTTTACGTTTTGGCCTTCAGGCCTGCCACATTTTCTACGGTGGGAAAATGGGAAGGGGGGTTATATGGAGTATGGGTGATATAAAGTCAAAATAACATTCTTTTCTCAGAGAGTCAAGGCCACCTTACCCTGCAGCTGCGATGGTGTGACTGGGAGGCATCTCCAGTTTTGGATGGTGCCTGATTGGGCCATGTGATGGACATGTGGGTGCTGGGCAGGGACTTTCACTTGGATGGGGAACACCTGGAAACTTTCAGATTCGGGTTTTCCCAGATGTGCCAACATGGCGTCTCTAATAAAATGGAACTTTGAGGAAACTCAAGCTTCGGAGTCTTCTTTCGTTGGGGGGGAGGTGTTCCTTGGACCCCTGACATAAAATATGACTTAGGTTTCATCCTTCATAACGGTAAGGACTAGAAACCTGTGGTTGTGCTTGTTGTTGCTGCGTCTTTCTGGATTTGTCTATTTCTCCTGCAGGGTTTGAAATTTACCTTAAAGATCGCTCGCTCCCTCAACAACCTTTCCGGCAGGTTTTTTCGTGGCAGCTCCCGGGTTGTCTGCAGTTCTTCATTCCAATCTCTGGTCTGAAAGGAGATCAGGGAAGAGGCGAAATATATTAAATGCAAGCACACAAAGACACCAACTTTCCAACCTTGGGCAGAAATAGAGAACGAGGCCCTCTGCTATTCTCTTTGGCTCACTGAAAATTTCTGGCTTTTTCAAACCACGTTTCCTTTTTGAGCTCAGCTACCCAGTGGTGGGTTGCACACTTTGTTATCACCCGTTCGCCGGGCGCACGTGCGCCTTCTGTGCATGCGCTTTGCTTGCGTGCGCACCCGGCCTTAAAAAGTGCCTAAATAGGACGGCATAAAGCTGTCCCATGATTTCGGCTACCAGTTCAGGTGAACTTGTCTGAACCGGCTGAATACCATTTCTGATTTTTTCCCCGTATTAACCAGGATTATCTGTGGCTTGCTAGTTCAAATGGATCAAGAAATGGTGGCTTCTCAGCTGTAAAACTGGGCAGGTGTCTCATTTGTAAGACAACAGCTCGTGAGCTTTTTATTCATGTTTTTATTTATATATCAAATTTAGTGTGTGGGGGGGGAAATCTCATCTCACTCACAAAGCAACTTTTGTTTTAAGAGGACAGGAAATGATATTTTTGCATTTACTTTATTACCTTGTGGGAAACATAATTTAGAAGCTCCTAAAAATACTACAGTAAATAGTTAGGCGTAATTTGAAGAGAGCGGGAAATATGCCATTTAAATCCAATTTGCATTGATTTATATAATCTGAATTATTGTAAACTGACACAAATGACACAGATGAACAAAGATGGGGGGAAAAAGCAAGACGACATCAGAAACAACAAATGGTACGTTAAATGTGAGTAGTATCCAAACGGCAAAAATGTCTGCTAATTGAGGTCTGTTAAAACAATGATTTATGGGGTGTGAACCACATAATGTACTCTTATTCGCTAAGTGGCTTTAAAGGATCAGTACACTTTCCTTTTTCTTTAAAAAAAATAAGGTTTTAGTCCCTAAAAGGGCTTCTCAAAGCACTTGACTAAATGGAAGGAGACATAATGAGCACTTAAACAAAGACCTTAAGGTGAAATGGAACTGAATTACAACCTTAATTCATACATTAAAAGCACCTTTCAAGACTGCAGAGAGCTGTTAATGAGTGCCAAAATAAAAGATGAAACAGTTCAAAACTAAAATGGTTATTTTAATAGACCTGTGGGCTTTTTGTTTTTAAAAAAAAATTTGGTCGATGGAGATTCTCGATGGAGCTTTTGGAAAAAGGCAATTGGACTTTCGTGGGTGTTTTTTGTTTCCTTGAAAACCTTTCGCTTCTCATCCAAGAAGCTTCCTCCAGTTCTGACCAGTGATGGGATTCAACCGGTGTAACAACTGGTTCGCTGAGTGTCCGCTTAGCACACTTGCAGTGTGTTTGAAAACAGCTCCAAAACTTACCTTCTACTGCAGCCCCCAGTGAGTAAAACAGCGGAGGTGTGGCAATCCACTCTGCTGTGCCTACCAGCTGGACTTCAAACAAAGGAAATACAGGATGGCCTAGCGCAGGGGCGGGTGGGCGGGGCCAACCGATCACCAGAATTACCATTTCGCCCGAACCGGCTGAATCCCACCCCTGGTTCTGATTGAACGGTGGGGAATGGAAGAATTTATATTCTTTGCAGTCATCTGGTCATTAGCACTCTAAAGGTGAGTTGTGAGCTCTCTGGGAGTCATGGAGGCCTCAGGGAATTCTCTGTACATATCCACAGGGTCACCTGAATTGGAGCGCAAATGAGTGAGGAATCTTCTTGGGAGTGTTGAAAGGATTCACCAACAAAAGGGCGAATGACAAAACCGCACCCGACTAAACCGCGGTGACAAAACCATGTGTTCTAAAGCGCTCCGACGAATGAGCGCTGAATCGCGGCGACAACAGCGCGGCGACAGAAGCGCGCTGTAAAACTAAACCTAACCCTAAACGTAACGCTAAACGTAACGCTAAACCTAACCCTAACCCTAACGCTAAACCTAACCCTAAACCTAACGCTAAACGTAACGCTAAACCTAACCCTAACCCTAACGCTAAACCTAACCCTAAACCTAACGCTAAACGTAACGCTAAACCTAACCCTAAATGTAACCTTTACCTTAGGTTAAAGCGCCCTTCTGTCTCTGCGCTGTTGTCTCCGCGCTGTTGTCACCGCGCTGATGACGCCGCGGTTTTAGCGACACGGTTGAGTCAGGCACGGTTTTGTCGTTCGCCCTTTTGTCGGGTCACGGTTGAAAGGACTGTGTCTAAACAAGAGGTAAGTGGTGTCGTATCCCCCCCCACTTCCTATTGAGAGTGCTGTTCAATTTTCACATTAGATAACTTCTTTAATCCCTTTTTCTGAGCCCTGGTGGCCCAGTGGTTAGAATGCAATATTACAGGATAACTCTGCTGACTGCCAGCAGTTCGATTCTGATCAGTTCAAGATTGACTCAGCCTTCCCAGATCAGTAAAATGAGGACCCAGATTTTGGGGGGCAATTCGTTGACTCTGTAAATTGCTTAGAGAGGGCTGTAAAGCACTGTGAAGCGATATAGAAGTCTAGGTGCTATTGCTATTTCAAGCCAGTGATCATCTCTGTCCAGAATGTGGACTTTGCTGTCTTCAAAAGAACAACCTTTGCATTTCGGATGCAGAGAGGCCGCTGAACCTTATCCCGATGGGATTTTTTCTCTTGTGTTGTAACATAGATTTGTGAAGTGATTGTTTTATTTCCCCAATATATAATCTGCATCTGTCTCATTGCATTGTATTGCATCAATCACATTGCTGAGTTTGCATCTGGGCTTTTTATTCTTGGGGTGGATAAGCTCCTGCTTTAATGTATTCTTGGGTTTAAAGTGTGTACGGATGTTGTGTTGGTTGAAAATCCTCCTGAGCTTTCTGGATATTCCTGCAACATTTGGAATGACAACATTGCTTCGTTTGTTCTCTTTGTTTGTGGGAAGTGGGTATGTCTAATTTGATGAAAGGAAAGACTAGGGGTGACATGATAGCAATATTCCAATATTTGAGGGGTTGCCACATTAGCTTGATCTAATAAACCAACTTTATATTCTTTTTTTTACTTCTAACAATCTTAATCTTTCATCCACTCAAATAATGTCACAGGATTTGATTTTTTTTTCATTTCTTCTTTATCCATTCTCATATGAAATTCTTCAAAGTTTTAACAACTTTAGTTTATAAGTGGAATATAGAAAAATTATCCAGGTTATTCTCTTGGTTTATTGCATATCGCTTTTAGTTATTTTAAAAAGAATCATATGGTTACTTTTGTAATGTCTTTGTAGCATCTTTTTCCATGTAAAGCTTGTAGCCTATCACTCAGTCTATGTCTTGTCAGGTAAAACCTGTGCTTTTTCTCACGGCTTTTGGTCTATTCCTAGAGACAGATATTTCTGTTGACATTGTTAATATTAACCTTTGACTCAATTTTTAAAAAGTGTCCTTCAATATTTCCAGTGTTAAGAATATTTTGCATCAGTCTGTAGCTGTTAATCATATTTGTGTGCTCTTCCTTAATCTTTAGTTCCCTTCTAGTGTCCAATTTTTAAAGTCTTATTGTTTTTTTAAAAAAATTCAAAACAATTTAATTTTCCCACGGGAAGTATTCGTTATAATTAATTCAAAAGTCTTAGTTCAAATTTATTTGGACCTTTAATTAATTTATAACTTTCTAAAATAAAAATAAAAGCTTTTTACTGTTTATTTCAATTTCTTTTTTTTTAAGAACAGAAGCTTGTAGTTAGAATTTCTTTCATTAAGGATTGAATTACCAGAGTTTTCAAATCTGTCTCTCCAAAGATTTCTAATAGCTGAGAAGTAGCTAGTGAGCAATTTCTGAATGGGATTAGAAAAGTATAAGGATACAAATCCAGTGTCCTTTTAAGACGCCAACCAGGATTTCAACAAGATGGCTATTACTTTGTCTTCCAGTGCTCAAAACCTATTTTTGTTTTGTAGCGTCCCAGAAGGGAGCAACCATCACTTGTGGACAATCTCCTATCCACTCTTTGTTCAGAGAGATATATGAAGAGGCCATCTGTTCATCAGCTCTTCCTTTTTCACCATGATTGTCTGCTCTACTTTTGACAGGCCTGTCTTCAGTTCGTCATTTCTTCCTCCTTTTCTCCTTCTCATCTTTAATTATATTAGAAACAAGAAACTGCCCAGAGGTTATCAGCATTCCTTTGGTCTCGTCAGGCCTCAAGACATTTGGTTCTGAAAGTAATTTTTTTTACCTCATGAGACATAAAAAGGTCTGGTGGCCTGTCGACTGCCGGCCCCTCCAGCAGCCGAATCAGAGGAAGAGGTGGAGGCATGGGAGCCAGGGTCAGCGTCAAGGAAACCTGAGAGCTCTGAGGAGGAAAAGGAAATAGAGCTGGCAGAGACAGAGGTGAAGCCTGGGCCACCCATCAGCCTTCAGATGGAGAGTCAACAGTCCCAGGCAGAGGTGGGTTCCTACCAGTTTGCACCTATTCGGTAGAACCGGTTCGTCAAATCTACCGAACCGGTTAGAAGAGGTTCCACCAGTGGACCTGGAAAGCAGGCCACACCTACAGAAGAAGCTCCAAAATGTTTTGAAACCCACCACTACCACACACAGACAGACAGACTGACACAGAGAGAAAGAGAAAGAAAAAGAGAAAGAAAGGAAGAAAGAAATAAA